GACCTAGTTCATCATCTCGAGTGTCTTCCTATAATTCTATCATCTTACGTTCGGTGCACGAAGGCCTACACATAATTCCTATCATTGATTATCATTATACTACGCAGTGGGCACAAATTTATAACTACTCAATTAATAAAAACCTAGCCTACCTGGGCGACAAGCAGCTACACAGAGTTTTGGCTTCGATTCTTATTTTCAGGTTTCGTGACAGTGATCTTGATCGGAAATCTGCCATCCACAAAGCTCCTTAAGTTAGAAATCCCCTTCTCCTTCCTTCCCAAGCTTAGATAAGCTTTTTGAGGGTTTCTAGGGTAGTTTACGTCTAATTTAGGTATTTTAGTAATAAGGAGATAATAAGATTTCGCGTTATTTACATTATGTCTCGCCTATCCCGCTCTGACACCAGCTTACCCCGCTGTGGCGCCGTCGCACTAGCGACATCTTGCCGGCCCTGGCGGGACAATGGCCCAGAAATTTCCCAAATTTTGCTTTTCCTAAATAACGACGGTTCAGGTCGTTACAAAGGCAGAAGGACCCCCCAAACTCTAGCCGAAATTTCAGAGGCACACCTTAACTATACTAAGGTCTTATTACCCCTCTCAACCCTTTTTATTTTTTTAATTTTGTACACCTTTTATGCTTATGTGATATCCAAATATATCTCACATGCCTCAACTACGTAGATTCATTGAGTGTGTCACGTAAGCCAAAAGGTGTACAAAATTACAAAAAAAATGAGTTCATGCGCGGGGCGAGGGGGCTAATAGGACCTTAGTTTAGTTAAGGTGTGTCTTTGGGATTTTGGTCATAATTTAGGGGGTTACTTGTGTCTTACCCCTATTAAGAATAATAGAATTCACATAGCATAATCAATTGTGCTTATCTAAATAACTCATATAGTTGTGAAGACATCATATGGAAATAAATCGTTCAACCTTTGAAAAAGATTGAATGATAGTATAGGGATTAAGTATCTGTAATTACATGTTAATCGACAAACAAAATAATTAATTGAGGAGACATAATCTTAGTGTTTTAATATTGTAAGTTTACAATCTTATTTACTTACTACAACTTTAGTTTTAGCTTACAATTTCTTTACAATCTTATTGATAAGAAGTTGACTACAAATCTGATAATTGTTTTGATAGTAAAGTTCAGGTTTCGCCATTTTTTTGTAGGATCCGACTTTAATCATGGTTGGATTACAATAGCTTATGACTGTGTTACATTATCTCATAGAATTGTGTGAGCATGTCATTTATCGAAAGTTTTGTTGTGGTTAAATTTTTTTAAAAAACTCAAAAATTCAATCAATGATTCAAACCACTCATGAACACCTCAAGAATTGTACCAACAATCCAATGAAGTAAAAATAAACATCTTTCAGAGCTAACAGAACTTTCATAATTCAATTTTAAGCTCATTAACATAGAATGTTGACTTTGATCAAATTTCTTAACTTCTAAACATTCAAAACTGACAAATTCATTCAATATATGTCTAATCTTGAAAATCACATCACCCTTCCCTGCAGGTCACAAATGATATACAAAAATTATTGAAAGGGTCAAAAAAGGAAAAATACATGGAAAAAACCCAAACGACTATGAGGATCACTGCAATACCCTTCAAAAGTTAAACGATCAAATTATCTCTTACCTAACGCCTTATTTATTTGCACTTAATGAATGTCTTAATCTTAATCATCCAGATCTCAGTCATTAAATATGTGTGTTTTTAAGGTATGAATCTTAATCATTCGATTCTTAATTATCAAGTGCATTTATTTTCCTTATTTTATAACTACTTAATGAGTCTGAATGGTTAAGATCCATAAAAAAAAGTCTCAATATCATTAAGATGTCCATTAAATTATTTTTACAAAGATGACAGTTTACCGCTATTTCATCTAATTTTAGTTACCACCATCACCATTTTAGCCACAATTACTATCACCGTCAATCAGCACCACCTACCATCCAAAACCACCATCCTCAACCCAACCATAACCATCACTATCGTCATTCACCAAAATTAATCTCCATCAACATTGGCTATCATTTGCAATCATCACCATCAATTATTATTATATCCACTAATCACTATGAATAATTACCATCATTAGTTAACATTATATACTTCTAACCACCATTATCATCCACCACCACATTAGCTATCAATAGTATCCCATTATTAATTATCAACCACCGCCATTACCAACCACGATTAATCACTACTGTCAATCACTATACTATAAGATATCACCCACAACCACCGTCATTAGTCAACACCATTCCAAATCGATGAAAAAAATCATCATTGGTAGTCATCATCATCACCAATTTTTTTGTTGATATAATATTAGATCAATTTAATGTTTTATTTGAATTTTGATATTTAAACAAAGACAAATTTTATGCATTAAAATATAGAGAAGGCAAATGTTCTAAATATTTAATATATAGATTTAATACAACATCTTAGTATTCAGATGTGTATTCAAATTCAGACCTCCTAATCTTAATGCACATCTTAATATTTAGATGTGCATTCATATTTAGACATTCTATTTTTAATGAAAACAAATAAGGTATAAGAGTAAAATTATATCTCATTATATGATTTTATACCACCCCACTTAATGTTAGCCTAATATCCATAATATTAAAAATATAAGCGCAATTCACGAAAAATAAAAAGGGGAGCTTACATAAATCTCACTAGTTTATGAGCTAATTACTTAGATACACTTTAGTTTGCAGTATTACATATCTTACCAATTTTTTCCACCATATACGTCCAAATACATGTATCTCGGATACATGGGGTCAAATTTAGGTGTAATTTGTTCTAGGTATATTGTATTATTGTATCCAAGTGGATTCGCACGTATCTGAGATACAATAACAAACCTCGTTCGCCTCACTCACCTTTCTCCTATCTCGCTCTCCACTCACCGGATACATACAACTGACTCTAGATGTGTACAAATACATGTATCTAGAGAGATACATACGAATCTCACTCGCATTCCTCCCCAATCTCGCTCGTTTCTCTTCCTATTTTTGTGTGTCTAGTAGCAAAAATACATATATCTAAGTGTAAAATACGTAAGAAACTCTTAATTAGTGGTAAGATATGTAATATTTTGAAAATATATATATATATATATATATATATATATATATACACACACATAATAATAGTATATATGATAATGAAGTCTGTCTAATTATGTAGTTTTTTCAAATAAAAATCATACAAAAAAATGTAATTGAGTCCTTTCATTACCTGTTATTATAGTACTCTTCGAACCAAAGAATTTATGACTACTTAATTGTACTTGAATTAGGCTCATAAAACCAACCATTTCAAGCAATTGAAGAAATGATATTTGACTATTTGACATAATTAGAGTATTAATTGTGGTTCTGTTTCATCATATATATATAAATAAGATAATATTCATCATTCTTGAAAACTTGCATTATTTGTGTACTTTAATTTTTTTGCCGGTAAGAAGTTGTACTCTATTTTTTTTTTTTATGAATGCACACATAAGTTATAATATGATAAAAGTAATATTTTATAGAAATGGTATAAAAATTTGATAATCGCGTGTCTACTTCATGAAGACAGTTAAATTCATGTCAATTTCATGATACACATCTGTAAAAAAATGTAATTATTTATCATAGAGATATGTAATCATTATTGGAATTAGAAAATTTAATTGATAGATATATAATTTACAAGTGTTAATACATGTATCTTTTGTTTGATTCGAAATTACGAGTCATTTTATATGTGAATTTGGTAAAAACAAAATAAATTTATTGGACTTTTGATATAACATTATCAACTTATTGATGCTTTGCTTGTATGATTTAATCTAATAACCAAACATTTCAAATCGAAGCTGCGAAATAAGAGAATTAAAAATCTTATGTTCAACCAAAATATGTAATTCTTATCAATTTGCAATTTGGCAATGGAATAACATGTTGTGTGTGTCCCTCAAAAATATTTTTTACTTTTATTTTAGTCCAAAATTTAGAAAGATTTAGTGTAGCAGTTTAATTAGTTTTGAAAAGTAAAATAATACGTAAATAATTAAATTTAATTAACAATTTGATTTTAAAATATTCCTTTTATCCTTGATAAAATAATTTCTGACCACACCAATCTCTATGACTTATTTCAAACCACAAGTTTCAAAAGTTTTTATTTTTTAAACTTCGTGTCAAGTCAAACTAACTCATATAAATTTGGACAAAGAGAACTAAAATTGGCTAAAATTTTAGACATGTACATCAACATATTGAAGCAGAAGAAGCAAAAAAGAAACATACACTTCAACCTAAAAGTTACTTAATACTCCCTCCGTCCACTTTTAATTGTCATATTGCGCTTTTCGAAAGTCAATTTGACTAATTTTTAAATCAAAATTAAATTACATTAATTTGATATTTTAAATAAAAAATTTAGATATTCAAAAACTATACGAAAAGTACTATAAATAGCTTTTTTTTTTTGCATATCAATGTGATGAAAAATACATCATAAAATGTTAGTCAATGTACTTATCATTTGACCCTAAAAAAAGGAAAACATGACAATTAAAAGTGAACAGAAGTAGTACTGAATATTCATGCAACTATAGCATAATGCGGGTACTAGTTAAATGGGACGACCATTAGGTACCCCATGAAATTTTAAATAGACCAATGCAACATGTATTTATCTTCTATTTTTGGACGATAATATGACATATTCTTTAATGTAGTAGCTTCTTAGGGTAAGCTTTTCTGCATTTTAAGGTAGAAAATTCAATCACAGACTAACAAATAATATAGTCCCCCCCCCCCCCCCCCCCACCCACACACACACACACACCACCACCACCACCACATTAGGCGTTCCAATTGCTCTAGTATGGTTTAATCTGGTTTTAATCGGACCTGTAATTGTTCACTGAATGCCCTTTATAAGAATTATGGATATAAATGTAAACTAGCTCCCCACCTTAATGTGATTGCAACAAATGCATTACTCTGAGATCCTCATTTGAGCTTTAGCAAGCATTGTTGGTATTGTTGCAACTCAACAATTTTCTCAATAATACTGTACAAAGGATGAGGATGTCGGTCCCTCCTCAGCACGAAGAAGGGTGGGTCGGTTCCAGAGAAGATTGTACCGACCAAAAAGCAACTGATTTAGGAGCCTGATTGGGCTTTAGTGAGCATTGTCTGTATTGTTGCAACTGAATCAACTGTGGATTTCAGTAGCCAACTGATTCCTACTTGCACGCGGTGTTTATCAGTTGGTAATCTGATCAAATACGCTATTTTCCTTGCTGCAATAAGTACCAACTGAAATATGAGAAAGTGAAGAACGAGAGACGGGGGTTTGGGGGGTGAATAGACTGATGCCTGCTAGAAATGTGAAGGTTGAAGTGTACCAGTATGACCAACAAAACCCTCCAAGGTCAGTCCATCAGTGAAACTTGGTGAAACAGCAGCATCATACCTCCCAAGTGTCATCATCTCACCTAAATTTTGATACCTGCGGCATAGTGGCATAATTTTAATCAAGAAAATTAACGTTGCTTCACAATCAGCTGATACAACTTTGTAACTAGGACTGATAACTCGAATAGTTGCAAATAGATTAGGAAGTGTCAATAACTCTCCTCACTAGTTAAGTTCCACACTTGCAAAAAGAAATTTAAGAAAAGCTATAGCATATGGTATATTGTTCCCTAACTGAAGTAATTCAAGTAAAAATTGTTTCCGGAGACTTATAAAGAAATTTAGGAAGCTGATCGTTTCACGACTTGAATCACGGTCGTTGGGAATCTCTATAAAGTGGATGATTCCCTGTTTTCACAACCTAAATAACCTTTAGATGCAAAGATAATTTTACCCTAGCCATCTATCTCTGAATGAAAAAAAAAAAACATGTTTTCCTATTTATAGGGAATTAAATAAGGTTTCTATGGAAAATTCACTAATGGACCAATACCTAATTAGCACCCCTTAATAGATAGACTAGGCCTAATAGTATTTTCTAACAACTCACTTACACAGAAGGGAGTGCTCAAGCTCCACCAACTAATTAAGAAAAAGCTTATTCCACTTTTATTTCTCTTGTATCATTTCATACTGGATACAGAGGGCATGCAACCGCCAACCAGTATACTATGAGAGCACTTTGCTATACATCTGTTAGGAATATATAGCCTCTTGTCATCATCAACCATAACATAAATATGCTTAGTATGCTATATCATTTGAATACGTTTGAGCTTGTGCATCCTACATTCTTGCCATCACAATTATGACCCATAAATCATAGTCGGTACCAACAAACACAAATAGGGATTTTATCAATGATCTTTCTTTCACGAGTAAAACACAGTTATGACCTTCTATCGCTTCTTGTGAGACAGATATTTAAGTCAATGGATCTACAAATATTTGAGTAGATGCACTTAATGTTCACTTCTTTGTATGCAACCATATCTTTCACAAAATTGAAAAAATGTCAATGTGTTTGGTTTTACATCGACCATTGATGCTCAAATTAGTAATCTAACAAATGGAAGTATCCATAAAGCTGTTCTTACTAAAAGAGAGTATAAGTACACAAAAGAATATAAGATGGCAGTCATAAATTTCAAACTTGAAGAAGCTATTTTCGTCTCAGAATCTCAAGAGACGAGAAGGATTAGGAGGGAGTTTTTAATGGTTAGGGAAAAATAGAGTCACCGTGAAGATGCTGCTGCCAACACCACAGTCAGTTTCTGAGCAAAGAAGCTCTTTCTTCACTGGTGCTTTGAGTATTTTTTATGGAGGAAACAGATTCAGGGTTTGAAGGCTTCTCAAATTGGGCAGGGGTTTAAGCACCTTTTTGATGCTTGTAAAGCTTCCAACTTAGCACCTTTTTCTGGGGTGGCTAAGTTTTTATTGAATAGAATCGCTACTTGTCTCAAAAAAAATTATGGTGGGAGGAAGTGTAAAACCTAAAAGAAGCTTACCTTTGGTTTCATCAACTGACCGCATCATTTTATGCAATGTATTATGCCATGTAAGGAAAATTAAGAAGCACACATTATAGTTAGTGGTAGAGGAGTTGATTATCCAACTTTTTAACAAACATAGGTGTTCAACTAGAAGTTGGAGTGTCAATTTAGGTTTTAACCCAAAAAGAAAACTAGGAAACCTAACATTTTTCTCCAAATTAAGGGAACTAAACCATGTAACAGATGCTCACTCAACAAATAATAAACACAATCTGATAGCCAATCGATGTAGCAGATATGGAACAAACCTAAAAGGCAACAATGGACGGTCATTAATTGCAGCCCACAAATTCCAACCAGCAAAATCTGCTTGCTGGAAAGCAACCTGTAACAAAAACCACAGAAAAATCAGTACAGAAAGAGCATGCCTCTCAATCATAGGTTCACATGTATTTCTTGCACAAGCTTACTCAGATAAATTCAATCAACTACCTGTGCAGTAGCCGGAAGCAACTTCCCATTCCTGTCCCTTAATGTAGAAGAATCACCAACAGCAAATATACGAGGATGACCCTTGACACGGAGAGTTTCATCAGTTTCTGCTTGTCCCCTAGCATTCAGAGGAATGTCGTAAGGTTTATCACTAGGTTCCAACTGAGGAAGTAGTGGTTTAGATCCAATAGTCCATAAAACTATATCTGCCCGTATAGTTTGACCCTGCAAGCCTCTTTCAGCAGGCTGCAATTCAAGTGTTACACTTTCAGAATGATCAGCTGCTGAGTCTATACTTTTAGGTTCAGCATCTGAGGTCTGAGGCTCGACTCCTTTTGTTATGCATCGGACAAAATAACCAAGTATGAGTTGAACTTTCCTGGACGAAAGTACCTGAAAGAAGACTGCTTATGTTCAAATATAAGGGACACAACAGACGGTGGATCATGATGAAACAAGAAGTTTATCACATTGTAAAATGAGGAGAATTCAAAAGGGCTGAACTTACAAAAACACTGTCCACAAAGGCATTGAATGGAGCTCGAGTTGATTACCTTTGTAACTAGCTGGGCATGATCAACATCTATACTCTAGCTTGAGAGGGAGTGTTACTAGAATGAACCTCGACCTACTCCTTAACAGTGCACACAGGCCAAATATAGATAGAATATTTGTAGGAATTTTCTTTTGATTCTTTCCTTATTTAGACTCAATGTACTTGTATTTAAATCTTGTAATACTTGCAATAATATAAAAGGAAATAACTCAATTGCCTCTGTAACTTACAAAATATAGCACGAAAGAAAGAAATGAAGAATGTATTTACTTGATTATTTCCCAAACCTATTAGATGTTTAAATAATCACCTATTCTAAACAAGGAAAGAAATCAAGGCTGTATCTTCCTAATTGATTCCAACATATACACGATATGCTTAACATATTAAATGTTGTGAACAGTGATCCAATTTTTTGTTGAAGGATAAAAGGAAGAAAAATGAGTGGAAAAACTATGACACTAAAGCACCTTTGATGAAATGATGGCAACTCAATGATGTAAATTGCTTACTTTTAGTGCTGCTTCCCTATTTCCTGCTGGAGCATTTGACAAAATTGTCTTTTCAACATTAATTGCTTGTACAATTCCCTTTTCTTGCAACCTTTCCGATATCGTGGCAGCTAACTCAACTCCTCCATAACCACATCCAACCACTGCTACTCGTATTGCAGAGTCCTTACCGAAGTTCTTGCGCTCTAATTCTCTTAGCTTTTTATCAACCCTCTGCACAAAAAATGAAGAGCTGGAAACACTTCAAATTTGCATAAGAGCCAAATATCACAATTTAGGTTTACTTTAAAATGATAAAATGTAACCTTATTCAATCAAGTACTGACATGAGCATCCTCTAGGGTATAAAATGGCAAGGCATAATCTGCAGCGCCTGGAACAATATCAAGTTTGGCTTCAGCTCCTATAGCAAGGACCAACCTGGCAGCCCAAAGATTTAAGAAAGAAAAAGTCCTTCATATCAGCATACCATGTTTAAGGTATAGTTAATCACCCAATCAAGAGATGAATGATACTCCCTCAATTCCACTTTATGTGAACACATTTAAAGTATGATGGTCAAACTAACTAATTTTGGTGAATTTTCAATTTTTATGAAATGAAATTTACATTTTAAGTCACAATAGTTAACAATTCAAAATATTTAAACTCATTTGATAAAATCGTGGTCAAAGAAAGCATCATTGACTCTCCAAAAAATAACTAGATCACATAAAAAGATAGGGAGTAGTGAAACGTAGACTTCAGTAAGAAGAAAAATATTACTTCCTCATTGTAAACTTAATAAAATCTGTTTGACGTAAAAATTTACTCAAATTGAGGTTGAATTCAGTCCATCTATCTTTACAGTTGTCTGATATTGGCAACAAATTGAGGAAGACATGGAACATCATACAAAATACAAATCATTTGAGAAAGCCAACAGAGAAAGGAAATCGGTATAGCATTCTTCAGTATCTTACTAGGTATTATGCATGATTTAGTATAAGTTTTTATAAAGATGCATGATTTGGTATCATAAGCAATCCTTATGTCTTTCAAGCCAAGGGGAAGTTTCCAAGAAAAACAACTCTAGCACTTAGCTTCTCCAATCTCTAACAGTTGACAGGGAAATTAGAACACTCTAGTCATGTCTTGTCAAGGAAACTAAGGAGACATTTGGTTTAAATACAAGTTATACATGAATTAGAAGAACGGGGACTATAATGCAGGGATTATAGTAAAGCAGAAGTTATTTTTTTGTTAGAGGTTTGGTTTGAAGCATTAAAAAATATTATACAATATACAATGTAAAATATTACATGTCTTTACGTTTAAAAAAATAGACTTATGCTTATTATTAGTTTTAGTTGTTCCAATCCCTGTATTCTTATTCCATTCTCTATCCTGCTGCATATAATACATAGATTCCATCATAATTGGTACATGTATTATTTTTTAGGAAAAGAGAAGTAAAAACCTTAAGCAATGTGGATTTTATGTGGATTAAATCTCCTTGTCTAACCAACCCAATGACCTAGAAAATTTGGGAGATACAAAAAATTTAATGCAAAATCACTGACCAGACAACTTTTTTGAGTGGAGTAAGAACAGATTATGGATAACATGTTTTGAAATCCAACAGGCTAACATGATTATTAGATAGTGATAATATCCACTATGACTTAATTTCACCTCATGACAGAGTTAGTTAATTAAAGACACTACGAATTTCTAACTTTTGGACTTTGAGAAGGCAGTGCTAAGGTAATTTTGCCTCAGACACAGGAAAAGGCTGGATGTAGTACATCAAGAAAAGGAGCTTCAATCCTAAATGCAATTTAAGATTTCTTTGTTACCCAGTCAAGTGAGGCTAGAGTGCTGACGAGCATACCAGTCATATTCTACGAGGAGACCACTTTCGAGATGAACAGTCCCTGCTGTAGGTGCACTAGTTCCTAAGTGGTCACATGGATATAAGCATTTTACCCTGTCTTTGAAGAACCTCACATCAGTATTGGCAAGCAAGTCTGAGAATTGTGGAGCAATTTCCCATGCCTCAACTTCTGCATTTGAAATGTTTTATTTAGAAGCTTATAACATTGACAAGAACCAAATATAAGCATTTAGGTCATGAATGGTTACATCGAACAGGAAGTAGGTAGCATACCTCCAGAGAGAAGTTCATACAACAATGGCTTAAAAACGAAACGTTCTGATTGATCGATGAGGACTACCTGAATTATTTCAATGAGACACATTCTCAGTGAACTAACAAGTGAGGGTAATGTTTGTATCTTCATTTTCTCTTCTTTCTAATATCTATCCAAATAAGAGTTGCATAATTAATAGAAAAAAGTATAAAATGGAACATAAGCTGTTGAGCTGAGCACTGTAAGCCTAGAGGAAATTATCGAATCTAGACTGACAAGGCTTCAAATTTTGTTTCTTCTATGTTCTTTTCTTACAGCAACATAGTTTCTTGGATTCTTTCTTTTACTAGATGAATGAAGAGAGCTTATACTAGAACGTTGAAAGACCACCACAAGCAGATGCAACCTCAATCATGAGTAAAGTAGGCAAGAGAAAAGGAAAGAAGAGAAAATAAAAGAAATGGGAGGATACTTCACTCATCCCTTAATCAGCCAAATTTCAAAAAGATAGTGCTTCTACCGCTTAATGAAAGGTAGACACTAAATAAATATCCCCATTAAAGATATAAACCATTTTTTTTCCCAGAAAACCTCCTTTTGTAGCAGATAAGTTGGTCCCCAAAAGTGTTACCTCCATATCATATAGATGACATAATCTGAATAGTGCTGAGATTACTAGAAAAAAGTTTGAATGAACTATTACGTAGTTAATCAATAAGTGATCATGATAATAGTTTGAAATATGAAATAGTTGAACAGTAAAAAAATGATCCATTGATCTTAAGTATATAAAATAATATATACTAGCATCAGTTCACATTATTTTGAATCATCTAAGGGAAAAAAGGTTTTCCATCTAAAGGAGAAATCCGAAGTATCCCAATACAGGAAAAAAGAAAGAGACACGAGTGATTGGAACACATGGGGTACTTTATCCCACTGTATTCATTATCTTTTTCATTTCCCCATAGCTTGTCTATTAGCAGAAATGAGTGTAGACACTTACATTTCCGGGAGCAGCAACATCTAACTTTACAGATTCTTGATTCATAGCAATAACATCAAATTCAAAGGATCATCACAAATGGAAGAGACCAAGGGAACACCACAACATATGGAGACTAGACAACAAAGAAAGGACTGACACCCACCCATCAAATTCTCTAAATATTGTACTCCAGAATCATGAAAAGAATCCATGATAATAAGAGAGAGTTAAGCAAACTCACAAGTATAAACTACATTTGGATCAAGATGAAAATGGATTTTTCAGGGAAACAGACATTTTTGTAAGATAAGAGATCAGAAATAGGACTATGTTGAGGCACAGATGAAGGAAATAAACATTAACTAATTTCTAAAAAATTGTCAATAGTGTAATATGGGGTTAAAAAAAGCAAAGGGAGGAATATGGTTGTTTTGATCCAAAGGTAGGTCGAGTGCAATTTTAGCCGATGTTATATTTGGGAATGAACCATGAAAACTTTTAGAACAAAAAAAGTTCCATATCTCATGAAATATCACATCAATTCCGGAAATAAAAATTTAATATATGCTTTTTCCTCTTTTTAAAGTTTTAAACCTTCCCTAATACTTGTTTGCATGTCAATTATGTGGCACTGACTTATTAAAAAAAAAATATATGTGACAGTATTTTATCTAATTTTCTTGATTAGCTGATGAAAAAGGATCAAATTGGAAAACAAGTTGTCAATATAGGACATTACAAGAAATTAAATCTTCGAAATATTGGGAACAAAGTGATATTCACTGATTAATATGTTTTAAAGCATTATGCGTCAGGGAATGCAAGTCCCATCTGAAGATCTAACAGGATTGGAGCCTTAAGCCAAAATTACCTGTGGTTTCTTCTCATCAGGCCAAACAAGTGATTCTAACCTCAGTGCTGTATAAAGACCTCCAAACCCACCACCTACTATGCAGATCCTTGGCCTCTGCATAAATGAAATTTTGTATTACCAAACTGCTAGAACCTGCAAATCCCTGAGCTGAAAATTTGTCTAATAAACTTAGCAACATGGTGGTCAACCCCAAGAAGAAATGAACAGAACAAAGTAAACAATTTATCTGATTTCCTTCTGATGGCGCTGGAAGTGGGAGAGTAGATATATGCTTTGAGCACAATTCAACAAAATGTGTAATAGTATTCGACTCCAAATATGTTATGGCCCTTGGTTTCAACTTGGACAAGCCTACTGGACTTACTGAGGTTAAAATCACTGCTCATGAAAGATATGGTGCAAAACATATCATTGTAACTGAGGATATACCATCAAATAAATTGATACTTGATAGACTATTGAATTACTCTTTCTACTGCTTACAGATTATCAGAGCAAACAATTAACATGGAGAGGAAAACGTCTACATACAAATATGCCAAATGGTCCAAAAGGAGGTACTTCATAGATAAAAGTTGAGCAATATCCACATTTCAACCAAGACTTTTCATCCCTGATAAAGATATATGCAACAACAACAACATACATAGTATAATCCCACAGTAAAGATATCATACAGACAAAAATAATGAAGTAGTTTCCAGACAAGACTTACCATGCATTTTATACAAGCATAATGTAAAATCTGCAAATGATATAACTCTTACAACAAAATCATGAAAGTCATATCACCCTAGAAGAATTAATACGCCCTCTATTCCACTTTACGTGACCCTGTTATTATTTGGAGAGTCAAAAATTCTTTCTCTAACTACGATATATTCAAATACTACATAAATATTTTGAATTGTTAACAATTGTGACTTTGCCGTACTTTCTAGTTACCATGAAACATTACAACCTTAGAGTTTGTCCACCAAAATGCCTTAAAACGTGATCTAAGCATCCCCTAACTTTCTCTTCCTCCTATCATTTCTTGCAATAAATTGATAGATTCAAGGACTTTGTTCTCTAGGAAATATTTAGTTAAAATAATATTTTTTGAACGAGAAAAGCACAAAAAGAAAAACGACAGGGCACTTAGCAAAAAGTGAAAATCAAAGAGCGCACTTCTTCGAAATTAATCACACAATTCATTGAAAAAATATAATTATCGATTCCAACTAAAAGCTTAGCATAAGAGTCAGACCTTTTTATCAGGATCAGGCCACATATAATTAACATTTTGAGCATTGGCTGCAGGAGTTTCCATGGTGTTTCCCAATCCTACTGTAGTGCTCAAGGCAAGAGTGCGCAATGATGTATTCCTCCTTGAGCTACGAGAACGCCACAAACTGCTCCTCCAAACATTCGGTAATTTAGGCGAACCCAATCGCATTTGGCGGCCTACGATATCAACAAAAAATGCTCAATTTTCCAAAATTAAGGTAAATGAGAGATGAAATTGAAGGAACTTACAGCTGAGCAGTGCAGTTTTTGCTGAAGCAGAAGAAGCTAGAGTTAACTCCATTGAAGCACTTGGGATTTTTCTGGTGCAAACGAGGGAGAAGATGATTCATATGCTTTTTGAGTGATTCGCTCGGCTCCACGTTACTAAAGCAAAAAAAAATAAAAAAAATTACCATTTGTGTCTCGGATAGGAGTGGCAAGGTCCAACCGAACCCGCTCAACCCATTTTAAGTTTGGGGTGCTCAATCAATTTCAATCCAATTCATTTTAATTTATTAAAAATTGAGTTGATATTCAATTCAAATCTTATTAAATATTTTTTTTTAAAAAAATTAATATGTTATATATAGTTATAAAAATTATTAGGTATTAAAGTATTTTAAAGAATAAATTAAACAATTAAAACTTAGATTCAGTTGGGTCTTGACGCGTTTTATAATATATTACCTAATCTATTTTGATCCAAGTGAATTTGGACTGGATTGTGTCTTCATTTATTTGTTGTCTTGACCCATTTAAATTTGACCCAATCTGCCTAATTGTAACTCCTAATCTTAGGTTCAAGTCATGGATATGTAAAAATTCTTGATAGAAGCGCTTCCCTTCGAATAGACCCTACGAAGTGCAAATTCAAATTAATTAAGCTCCAATGCTAATTTCGGATACTGAATAGAGAGAAAGAAAACTTTGGTTATTGTTGTAGAAAATTAAGAAAAAGTTATCATAAATTTCTTGAATATACTCCTCCCTACGGTTCATATTGGGTGATAGGAGAACTCTTATCATCCAATTTAAAAATTAAAAATGCGAAAGTAACTCTAAACATAATATATTTCCTTAATAAAGTGAAAGAATCAATCTCAACCTTAATTTCAACAGAATTCCTTTTGAACATACAACAAAAACCTTACCATGGAATTAGTCTAAACAGGAACAAGAGTTACTAAGAAGATACAATGTACAAAAGAAAATATGACACAACTCCCACCTTAAGGAAAAAGAATTAGAAGTTGTCGGAGATCATCATTGTTGACACCCAATTTTGGCTCTCCACATTTAACTATAGTAATAATTATAATAATAATAATAAAATATATATGTTATGACATTTTTATAGGAATACAAAAAGATTTCTTAATTATTTATTTGACTTGATAAATTTATTTCACAAATGTTATTTCTTACAAAATTAAATATATTATATTACTACTTACTTTCTCATTAATAAGTGTCGTTCTTAAGAATCGAATCTATTTTTTGTTCAAATATAATTCCTTTTGTCGCAATAGATATTTTTCGTGCATTTATTAAAATTAGAAAGCTTAGTTAATTAATGATTTACTAATTTATATTAATTTTAAGAGTGACTAATTTTATCAAATAAGCTAGTTTTGTAAAATAATTATCTTTAATTTAATAAATTATGACTATTTAATAAAGAAGTAGTTATAATTTAAATGAATTTAATTTGAGCAAATTTGGCAATCCAAGTCTTCTTAAAGCGGCCAATCCGTGTATGTCACGTAGGCGAGCACATGGATTGTGCTTCTTTAGCTTAAATCTTGACCCTACGATTAAATCTAATGGCCCTAGTTAATTAAGTTTTTACCATTATTCAATATATATATATATAACTTTTCCTTTTAACTTCTGATTTATTTTAACCGTCCGATCAAATGATCGAACGGCCCAAAACAAACAAGACTTTTCTTCTCTTTCTTTTTCAAGACCATCGCTTCAACTTTTCAGCATTTCAGAAAGACGGTACAATTTTTTTTCCTTTCCCAGAAAATCTTTGTTCCCAGACGCTCCTTCAACTTTCTCCTTCCCCATGGTCTTCACTGCTTCGTCCCATCAAAGAACGACCATGAACCGCCAGAAAACAACAATTTCCGGCGGTCCCTTACTTTACATCTTCTCCATCACCTTTTCTGGTGAAAAAACAGACCTCTATGCTGCCTACACCTCTGCTCTGGCCGAGTTTTGTTTAAAATATTTTTCAAAATTTGTGGTCTAAATTAGTCCAACAGATCAAAATCTGAAAAGTGATGATTGATTTTAATATCAAGTTGCAACTCTCTGTTTTCCAGCATTATTTTAATTTTCAAATTTGAATTTTGGACTCTGATTTTCACCTATAAAAGGATGGCGTTTTCCCATCCAAAGGAAGGGGGGGAGGGAATTGAAAAAAAAAAAAAAAGAGAACGATTGAAAAAAAAAACAGATAGAACAAATCGAATAATCAATTGAGAATCACAAAATAGCTTTGATTATTTTTCTTTCACTTCTCTGCTTTTCGTTTGAGTAAGTTTGAAGTTGGAATCTCTTGACGTCAGAGCTCTTGTTTGCTGTCCCAAAAGAGGTACATTTTTTGTTACTCTTTCTCCTTTATCTTGTTTGTTATGAATCAAATTGATTTGAGTTGTTGTATGTGAAATAGTGAACTGCTAATTTGAATTAGTGTCTTATTTTCGCCATGACTTATCTTATTCTGAAAATTAGTTGAATCACTGTTTCCTTTTATTAAATAGTTTGAATGTTCATTGTTATAGAACCTCATTATGTTAGACAAATCTTTGTTCTATTATTCTTACTCTTATTTTTTAGTACAGATCAACAGTTGCTGCCTGGATTAGTGGAGGTTAATTTGTTATGATCGTCTTGCAGAATGAATGATTCTTTCATTTATATTCATTTGGTTTTCCCTTTTGTTATTAGAGTTTGTCCAGGTTTAGTTCGGTTGTGTCATTTCCCAGGAATCGTTGGTACTACTTTGTCGTTTGCTGCCAGATAGTATTATGACATGGACATGCCTCGTCTAAGTTATATTTGTCTAAACACATATAGTTAAGACCATTAGAGTCATCCTAATCTGTCTTATTGCGCCATTTTGTTAGCTTTAGTTGATCGCGTTCACCTTTTAGCTAAAAATCTTTAAGTTAAATGGTTTGGAACGTACTTGCTGCCCAGATATCTGTATGTTAAACATTTTACATGATTTGATGAATATTAGCACGTTAAAAGCTCTCTCCCTGAATCAACCAAGTTTTTGGGAATGGTAAAATATTTCCCAAGTTTTCAGTTTTTTTTGGTAGCATGTTTCTTTATTATCGTTTTGCTTTGAATCTATCGGATTGATATGCATTAGTTCCTAAACGATTAAGTCGGTTGTTCAATTCTCTGCGTCTGTTTTGTTTGGGACTGGTGTTTTCTAAAGTTAGTAACGAAGAAGGGAAATTTATTTTTGCTCAAAAAATAATGTGAAGTAGACAAGACCCGTAGTTCTTTTTTCTTGTCTGTTTGGTGTGCTTCCAGTTGGTTTTAGTTGTTGTCTCTCTTCTCGTGATATCTTGACATAGGATAGAACATGAACAAATTCGTGGATGTGATTACCTCTTTTTCTGTTTTGGTCTAAATGTGCATCATTTATTTTGCTAAAATTTTGTAGATTTTAGTTTGTACATAGCTGTTATCTTATGTTATTACGAATCTGATATCTTAAGACTAGTCTAGCTCTACTTAACAATCGGCAGAAATATTTATAATATCCTTTCTCTACTTCTTAGAAATTGGTTCTAAATGCAGATTGTGTCTATTCCTTAGAAACTATATGTGTTCTAATTGTTTGCTTCTCTTGCTAGGCTCAAAGGATAAATAAATACTCCTAAACCATATACTCCATATGTAACTTCACATGAATCTTAGAAAGATATTAAGTTGTAAAAATCATGTCTACTAATGTGTTTGCTGGTTTAAGTTGATTCAAATTTGTTTTACCAGGCGACTATGTGAAGTTCATTTTGATTTGTTCTTCATAAGTTTGAAGCTCATTTGCTGATTTCTATTTCTTCTTTGTTTGTCACATGTACACTTGGGAGCGCGTTTGGAGTTAGTATATGACTCCATCTCTGTCCAATTAAGAGAAGCGACCAATGGCCTACATTATTTGCTCGTGTCTAGCAACCCTCATCTCATCAATAGTGTCAACGCTTCCTTTTTAGTTCAAAGCTTTACATTTTTTTATATATACATATATGCGCGATTACTTCGGCAAACGTTTTACATATTAGTATTTAACATTTATACTTTTTTTGATTGCTCCTATTTGTGTTTGAATTTGTACAAACCAACTAGAATGAGAGTAAGACGCAGTCGTCCATCTCACATTCCTCTAGATATTGGGTTTTAGTATGACCATTTGGCTTATGATGATGCTTTCCAAAGAAGTTTTTCATCTATTATATCTTTTGGTTGTGAAAGCTTAACCTTTAAGAAAAGTGAATTTGGAAACAACTTCCGTTTATCTCTTTATAAGGAGAATGTATCCATTTAAGATTTGCTTCAATAAGAGTTAATAACAATTTTTTAGCAACTTAATGAATGCAGATTTTTGAGGTCCAAAGTGCAATTTTAGCTTGAAAAATTCCAGATCTTAAGAGGTAAAAATGCAGGTTTTAGCTTGAAAATTCCAAATTTTGAGAGGTAAAAATAGCAGTTTTTTTTTAGTGAGCAGATTTTTAGTACAAATATGTATTTTTGGAGCAAAAACGCATTTGTTATGGGAGTCTTTATGACGCAGCATTTTGGGATCAAAATTATGTATTTTAGTTCTAAATGGGTGCATATTTTTTTTTAAGTTAAAAACATCACGTTTTAAGGGCTTCAAAGTATAGTAATTCATGTGTTAAAGATCACAACCTTGAAGACAAGAACACATATTTTCTTAGAACTTATAGATAAGATTGTTTTTGGTTAAAATGTTGATTCATTTAGAGTAAAAACGCAACTCTTTGAAGGCCTTTAAATAGGTAGATTTAAGAGATAAAAAAAATGCAGTTTTTTTTCAAATGAAATACAAATACCCCTTTTAGAAAAACAAGTGTTATATATGGTGAAAATTTGTCTTCCTTATTCACCTTTTGAAATACTTAGGCGTCACTTTTAAAACATTTGGAGGCAAGGACCGAACGACCATGAGTTGGGATGGGTAACCAATAGCTAGGCCTATTTTTTTTTATTCTTTACGTCAACTTTTATGAAAATATATTTGTTATTATCACTTTTCAAATCAATATTGTTAAAACATTTTATTTCATGATTTTAGATAAGT